ATTTTACCACCTTTGGGTTTGAGAGTGTCAGATGTACAGATCAGTTTTTCGCTTGGAAAAGAAAACATTTTTATGGTTTTATGCACAATATTTTACGAGTTTCATGCAATGAGCAAAGATTTCCGCTTGTATTATGTGTTATTCCATGGAAAAAGGGTTTTATTATTCCACTATTATTATTCCACTTTTACGTAATTTTATCATATCATGGCAATGGAACGCGCGAAATATGCCACGGTATAACTATGGGCGGCCATCACAATAAAAAATACAAGGATGTCAAATAGATCAGTGAAAACAAAGATGGTTTAAGGATCAGCTGCAGGATAGCATAGCTATAATAAAGGAATGGCATGGCCAAATTATGGACAGTCTAGTTTCCTTCATGAAACAGAACACCCTAAACATAAATAGTTTAGTCAAATGATAAACGGTTTGGTTGCTCATGTCGAGTTGGAACATGAAATTGTGAAATGGACTAGCTAAATTGCGAATAGGCTAGCACTTATTTTCAATACAGTACACAAACGGTGTAGCGTTGCGTCAAATGACTCAGGGTAATATGGAGTAGCACACCGTACGCACAAACGGTGTAGCGTTGCGCGAAATGGCTCAGCGTAATGTCGACTGACACAACGTACGTACAAACAGTGTAGCTAAGCGTGAAAAGGCTCAGTGTAATGTCGAATGGTACAGTATACACACAAAGCGTGCCGTGAAATGGCTCGGCGTTATGTAGAATGGTACAGCGTACATACAATCGGTGTAGCGTTGCGTAAAATGGCTTAGCGTAATGTCAAATGGTACAGCGTACACACAAATGGTGTAGCGTTGCGTAAAATAGCTCAGCGTAATGTAGAATGGTACAGCGAACATACAAACGGTGTAGCGTAGCGCGAATTTTCTCAGCGTAATGTCGAATGGTACAGCGTACACACAAATGGTGTAGAGTTACGTCGAATAGCTTTGCAGAACATCAGACGCTCTAGCTGAACATTAAATTGCTTAGCATTACATGAAATATTTCGATGTCGTGGCCAAT